AATTCTAGCGACAAATGAAGGTGGCGCATTCATGAGGAACACGAAATATCCAGGAGAAAAATCATAATTTTCAAACCTGAATGCAAAGTAAAATTTTTAGTTCATGATTTGGTGTGAAAAGTGCACAACTTTACTTCCCTTGCCATTTTAGATAACACTGTACATATTAAACGTAAGTAGTGCTTTCAAGAATGTATCAAGTTTTTATCTTGCAGTGCCTCTGGAAAGTTTCTCAGAACAACATACAACACTCCCATTCCAATTTCTAGAAAATGAAGAAAGTTGAACTTCAATCGAAACTTAATGCCAGATGATATATTATGATGGAAAAGTTTACCTGTTGTAAGCACACAAGAATAACATTCATTGCCTCGTTGTAAGGCAGTGAGACAATTTCGGTTGTCTTATCTTCTGCAGAACTAAAACAAAAGTGAGGATGTATTGAATTTGAATTTTTTTGAATTTAATCACTTTATTACCAAAAAGTAGAGGTAACAGGTGGCTGAACAGAGCATGGCCCCAATTGACATCAGCTACCGGTAAAGCAACCAGAGAGGTGCTGAAATCACCTAACGCTCGCCTGCACTGTTTGTCTAGAATAAGGCTAAACTCTGTATGAAAGGTATCTGTATGAAGCACAAATTACCGATCTTTTTATTACAAATTACAACTTTAACGTTGGACTATGTTTTATATACATAATCATTTATAAACACAATCTCAAAGTTTATAATTGTACATGTACAATACAAAAATGGTAGCATACAGGTGAAAATATTTGAAAGTTTCTCATTTGGCTTAGGGTTGTACAAATACTTTCGTTAAATATAATTCAGCTACAACTTTGAACTAAAAAAAACAGGGCTACACAATAGCCCTGAAAATCGTAATGAGCGTGATAACTCTGGATAACTCTAACATTGACCTTATCATGATGCTAATAGCTTAACATTTGCCTTATCATTTGATAATTTTGAGCAAAGCTCTTTATTATTGTATAAATGAATAGTCACAATGCATATCGATGACTTATATTTATGATGATTCCTCTTATGTAAAGCCATAATATTTAAAAAATATAGCATCTTAACATTGACCTTATCATTATGCTAATTAGCTTAACATTCACCTTATCATTTGAAAATTTTGAAAAAAATTCCCATTATTTTTGTGTAAATGTTACTAAATGTCACCATATAGTCACAAGACATATCGATGAGCTATATTTATGATGAATCTTCTGATGTAAAGCCGTAATATTTAAAAAATATAACATCTTAACATTGACCTTATCATTATGCTAATTAGCTTAACATTCACCTTATCATTTGATAATTTTGAGCAAAACTCTCTTTATTATTGTATAAATGTGTACCAAATGGCACTAAATAGTCACAATGCATATTGATGACTTATATTGATAATGATTCCTCTGATGTAAAGCCAAAGTATACAAAAATATAGCATTTTAACATTGACCTTATCATATATTTTGTTGTATAATGTTCACTCCCCTGGTAAATGGTTCTTTCGCAACAAATAGACTCCTTAAGTAGATAATTTGAAAATAATGGGAATATAAAAGTGGCATCTTAACATTCTACTTATCATGTAGTGTGGACGCGGACGGGGACGGGGACGACAAGACTATAGCAATAGCTTTCTTGCACTAAAGTGCAGGCGAGCTAAAAAGGAATTTTGGAAGCAGAATACCTGACATGCGTTGCACTATCATCATTAACCAACCTTTTCCTTTCAGAACAAATAACATACGAAGTGAATTTAACTTTTCCAATTTTGTCTGCACAAGGGCTAGTTCTCAGCTCGCAAACTGAGGAAACATTGAAGAATCTTTAAAAAACCACAATGTAAGACTTCATAGAAAAATCGCGAGAAATAACATTGAATTTGGCTTACCACATCGTATCTCCGATGCAATAGACGTCCGATAGCGATTGTCATAATGAGTTTTTATTTGGTACACTAATATATTGAATATTCGTTCTGCAATTACATAATAGGAAAGAGAGAATAAAAAATTATATTTTATATAACACTAGTGTAAAATGAATGATAAATGGAACTGTACAGCAAAATAGGCTATTACTCCGACAATAATGTTGCACAGAAAGACATTAAATATCTCAGAAATATTTGGGCTAAAGACCCCGGAATACAACTAAACGATAGCAGTTGAAACGATTGTTTGAATAGTATATTCCAACGCATATAGTTATAACCTGCATGTATATAAGTAAAACAATAATCAAATAATAGGTTGCTTTGTTATCTCAAATTACTCACCCATAGCAAGATATATTTTAGAAATTCCATATCTTTTTGCTTCTTTGGTACTCTGTTGTCTTCGAATCGTCCCAATTTTACATGTTATCAATCTGTTGTAATTCTGAGTAATTCTTGGGCTAGGATGTGCAAAAGAATCGAAGAAATAGCATTTCATAAGTGCTAAGCGATAATCGTTGGTAAGCACGTGCTTAAGACAAGCTCGAATCGGAACTAGGTCAGAATTTCAGCTTTTTGCCCGAATTTGTTTTCCATATTTTTATTATTGTGAAATATTATTGCCGGTGATGCGATAATTCATATCATCAGGTATGTTTATATAAAAAATCGGCAAAAATCTTCTAAAGGTTCGATTTTGACGCTAAATATATCAAAATAGTACTGAATATTTGAACTAAACCACTGCAACCGGTTTTCGTTTGCATTTTGGGCAATATCCTAAGGATTAGGCCGCTTTGATGTGTAATATTGAATATATAAAACGCGTGAATATCATACCTGTGAATAGCTATGTATGCATGGCGGTAAAACGCCATATTTCCACTGGAATTTGCAATATTTAGCCTTGAAATTTACCATATTTGCGATTTTGTCAGTTTTTATATTTACTATTATTCAATGCCATGCCCAATTCGACAATATTCTGAAAGGTTCAGTAGTTAAATGTACCACATAATTCAAATGCTACAACAGTTTGAAAGATTTACTTGCCTTTTAAATTCCGACTTTCCTGCTCGATGGGGTTCTAAAGCTGGTAGGGAAATAAAGCCTTTTAATAATGATTGAACTGTAATTTTTTGTGAACTTCATGAGAGAAATAATCGAACAAATACACACATACTATGATACATTGGCTTGGAATATGCTCCAAAACGTGTGAAATCGAACATTTGTTGTGCAATCACCTTGCAAATATCACAGAAACGGGATCAAAATTTGAATATAGATTAACCAATCTGATTGGTTTTTATTGAACCAATCATGGAGTACAAAAATTGACCAATGACAATTGACCTGTGCACAGAAATAACCAATCAAGTTGTCTTAATTTTGCTCAATTATGCAAGAGCCTACAGGCTATAAAACAGAGCCATCTGCGACCGTTTTCTTCAGGTAAGTGAGTTCTTTCTTTAGGGAGGATCAAGGTATGTGTAATTATTTTTTTAATAGAAGTAGATCCCCGTGGCCACTCTGTTAGCTAAGAATCTCTGTCCCCGTATCTGGAAACACGGCTCACTGCTTGTCTAACTGTGTTTTGCTCTTCGTTTTCTAGGGAGCTACTAATAATTTTTTTTGTGTTTTTCAGACAAAGACGATCGTAGTTTAGTTTCAGTATCCAACCCTAAGAAGCCACCCCATATCCATGCCGTCAGTTAAACCCCTAGCCACAATTGCCTTCAAGCTAATTGTGAATGGTTGCTTTTCTAGGAACAACTCACCATATTTTTTGTCGTTTCAGCTACAGAGTTAGTGGGTTGTGGGTTGTTGGATGTTGTGTCGTCGGTTGTGTGTTTTGTGTTGTGCGTTCGTATTGTCTGCCAGTCGGTTTGCGAGTTGCCTTGTAGCTCTCGCTTTTTCCTGGCCACACAAAGAACACATTTCGGATACTCCTTTTTAGGAGATTGGGTTCGACTCCCATGAATGTGTCAATTTTGCGCTGATATCTAATGTGGTCCGTCTTTAATACAAAAGCACAACATCCAACGGACAATCTGCATCCTTTCACCACACCAACTACAAGTGTTGTCCTCATACAACAGAATGAAACTTCCAACAGAGTAAGGAGTAACCAATACCCAAGATGAAGTTCTCGTAACTTCTCAAACAGGACAGGATGCGGCATTTGTTAATGAAGTATTCTCGATGTTTAAGGGATCCTCTTAGTTAGACGTCCGATCAGAGGATATTTCAAAGTGGTAAGCTGATTTAAACTTGTGATTACTGTGCGAATACTTCACCCATTTTAATAAATATGAGACCACTAAACTCATTGCTGTCTGCTCGTAAACGGCGCACACAGATAATTTCGATTTTATCTAGAAGTATTTTATCAAATCAACTAGAAATTGTGTTATCTCAAAGAAAAAACATTTACCTATTTGTATAAATTTAGTTCATTTCAAAAGCTTTCGTATAAGCCAAGATATTTATTGCCGAACTTGTACTTTTTAAATTGAATTTTAGAGAAGCGAAAATACGCAAAGCCTTCCAAAAATCTCGCCTAAAAACCTCCAAATATTTCTAGTATACATTGGGATCAATATTTTCATCTATTTTACTTGAAATACAGTCGCTTTGGCGATTTGTAGTGATATTTCCAACAAACGTGTTTACAAATGGACCGGAAAATGTGCATTTAATTATCACCATATTGTCGAAAATTTGACTTCTAGGGACAATTTTACCCCGGAAATCGATTACCGGGCTTATTTTACCCCCACAGGGTAGGCAACGTTACCTTTTTGATACCTCTAACCTCAGGTGACAACCACATGTGCGTGCGGCTGAGCAACGCCTCGCTATACACAATAACAAATAAAAAAAGCTATATTTTTCGAGTTTTTCTGCCCATCCTGACTTAAAAACTATCAGAAAAGATCACTAAAGCCTTTACAGTTTACATGTAACGGTTAAAAGACGACAGGATAAAAATAACGAAGAAAATAACGAAATTCCAAAGGCGAATTATATTTCCGTTTGTAATCCCGTGTAATTTGATATGATTTTTAGAGCTGCACTGCAGTGTCAGGTTAACAGCAATATTGATTAATTTCTGGATTAAAACAGAAGCGATTGGGTTAAAGTATTTTTCTTTAGCTATATTTTGGTGGTATTTTTGTGCTTTTTAAATTAAACGGATTAATTTAAACATTAAAAAACCATGATAATTTCATGATATCTGGTGATGGGAGGCATGACAAGAATTATGCCTACACAACATTTTGCTGTACAGTTCGATATGTCATTCATTTTACACTGGTGTTATTAAAAATAGATTTATTTTCTCCCTTTCCTATTATGTAATTGCCAATTACCAATATACAGGGGTTGGGGGTATTATGTGAATATGAAAGAAAACAGCCTGCATTTTGTTCTGTATATTCTTTTTGTTATAGAAGTCACAAAATACATGCTGTTACTATACAGTATAGGGCCTTGTGATTCACATACAATTATAGTTTCAATTGTGTGAAAGTGATGTTCTTGTAATCTCAATTGTAGATTCTATTGCATATAGAGCCGAATTGGTATGGCAACATATCTTTGAGAATTGAAGTTTATGGCGGTTCTTCAGGTATGTTCTAGCAATTCACTGAAGTACTATTTGTTCGCTAAGGAATGTTGTCCCATGGTAGCGTACGCACAAACCTGGGATATCACAATGCTGATAGCCTCACAACTATGGACAATAATATATTAATTTACTTGTTCCTTGTTTCTCAATTTTAGATCAAATAAATTATGGCAACCCAGGAGTCGCTAACAATTATTACCTTTCTCTTATCACTGACTACACCTCCATCCATCGCTGTGCCATACATGGATTTGATGGACTGACATACCAAGCAAGGTAAATATTGCAGGCTACATTGGTATATGTTCAGTTTATTATTATGTCATATTAAGACTGTTGGACATTATTTTTTTATTCAGTAATTCCCCTATATGGGAATGTGATAAAATTCGAAGTTAACCCCCAGTAAAGATTTCACAAAATCAATTGAAATAACGCTGTACCTCGACTGGTTTCAATTCTGGAGGCCCCATATATGGCACAATTATCTGCATTATCGTTTCATTTTTGTTGATGATTGTTTCGATGGTGTTTTGGTGCCGGAAGATAGAATAATTGATACTAATTATTGCCCCCGTACTGAAGACACATAACATCTCAGATAATAGCAACAAGTGTTGGGAATGCGGATAAGTCGACAGGACATGGTCGCTTAAATGAGGCAGCTTCTTGATCTGCACGGAAAAATTACCAGGACCAATGCATTTAAATTGACTTCGGCAAGAAAGATGTTGTTGGAGCGATTTCACTCAAAGTCGCCGTAATTATGATTAGCGGGTGAAGACCTACTCTGTATCCTTAGTTCCGACAGGCAAAAGTTCGCTCATTACAAAATAAATTGATTAGTCAGGGTTAGCTGGATTAATAAGCAAGGCTCCTACAGATTACCCTCTCACGTTATATGCATCACATCATTTCCATGCGGTCATATATAACTTTTAATGTGTGATTAAGATTAATTGTTTAACAAATTACTCATTTCATTAGAGACTCACTAGTTGAAAATGTCCTATCACCAACTGTAACCGCGCTTTACATCCGCATTCATCCAAAGACATGGTACGCAACATATCTTTGAGAATTGAAGTTTATAGCTGTTCTTTAGGTATGTTCTAGCAATTCACTGAAATACTATTTGTTCACTCAGGAATAAGAAATGACTGAGAGATCCATCTGACTGAAATATATAGCAAAAATATTTCAATAAGTGGCTTATATAAGAGTGAGTTTTTGATTTAGAAATAAATTGTTTACACGATGAATTTTTTTTCTATTTTTCAATTCTTACCCCTCCAGTGGGTTTGTCAGGTTTTTTACTAACTTAGGTGCATTGGAATACAAGTAAAAATAAGGGTGTTTTAGAAGTTATACCTGGACGGGGAATCCAGCATATCATTATGAGGAACAAAGCTATTATAGCGGTATATACTCAGGGCTATCACAATCAAGTTTAGTGTTATCGCTTGATTTTAATGTTTGCTGCACGGTCGGATTTCGCATTTAAAAGAAAATCAAGCGAAAAGTTTTACACGTACAAAAGTATAGGTATGGAACTGTTCTTTAATTTATCGGAAAAACTAGCGCGTTTTTAACCCACCACGTGTGTCAATGAGGATGCATATTCCTTCGATGTGATCTTACATCAAGCATTTTCAGCCATGCTATGCAAATTTTATGTTATTATCATATTAATTTCTTTAGAAATCCATTGTTTTCACAGTGAATGAACTCCAAAATATTAGCAGAGCATGACTAAATTGTCGTGTTAGCTACGCAACTGAGTATTTTATTTGCTCGCAGAGACTCGTCTGTCGAACGTGACCGTCGGCTAGTCTTCACCATGAACGCAAAAAACGTTCGCAGAATGCGCTCTGCTTTCGTGAAACGAAATCACGGACAAAACTCGGAATTGAGATTAAGTTCAATACACAAGCGACACAAACCTTTATAAGAGTTTCGTCATCCGAGGCACACAATAAAACATTTTCTGGCTAGAGAAGAAAAAGTTAAATTATGGTAATTAAAGATTAGGATATAAAGACAGTAATGATAAATAAATAAGTGCGCGCTTACCTTCCAATCCCTGTGGGTGATGCCATTTTCATGTAAGTGCAAAAAATACGAAACAGTATGAATAAAGTTAGTTTAGTTCAGGCTCCTGTAGTAACACTGGATCAATAACAGATGATCTTTAGCTTGGTGTTATTAAAAGCGCCAATCTCTTCCTAACATTTTCCATAAACTTTAGTCATCGCCTGTGAATAAAATATTCCAACTTGTTTCATTCATTCTTCGAAGTCTACACATGGCTAGACTCTCGCTAAACGACATCCCCACCTGAAGGCACATTGCTTTCATAGTTGGTTTAGTTGTCAATCGGAATCTGTGGTACAGATCGTTAAACAACTCGAGCCTGAAAACAAAATAGAAAAGTCGATCGAATCGTGAATTGTTTCATCCATGATTCTATACTTCTCTACTACATACTGCAGGACAAATAACATTGTGTGAACTGTGCAGCAATATGAAGAATAGGACGCTAAGGTATATTATATATTAGGTATCTGGAATCGTTTTTATGCAGCGGGAAGCAGGACAGTAGTTTGAATATTTGCAAATCCTGATAGATAAATGTCGTGGACTCACACATTTGTTATCGGCGTTTCCCCGTCGTTTTGTTCCAACAAGACTCTCAAATAATAGTCGCCTGATAGGAGAGATACGTTACTGAGTTTGATTATTGCTATGAGAGATAGGGGGAGGGCGCTTTAAAAAGAACTGTTAAAAAGCTAGAGCAGTATAAGGATTATCACTAACCTATTTTCAGTTGATCAGGTAACCATTCATACAGGACTTCAAACTAAAGGTGATTCCAAAAAACAACGTAGTTTCCACTCAGATCTTTTCCATTGCAAATGCGCGCAACTCAGATTCGAGAGCCCCAGAAGTTCCTCTCGCGTCTGTCACATTGAAAACAAAAGAAATTGTTTCAAACTCTTTTACGAGAACAGTTTAGAGAAAGAGGTCAGGACTATTGAATTTGTCTTGTTATACTCATAGCGACAGGAAATCCTCCATTACCTTTTCATTTCCTATATTTTCAACGGAAACTAACCTTAACTTCGAGACTCACCTTGTAATTCCAAATCAGGTTGTACGCTTTCAGATCTTGACTGAATCTGTAAAAAAGATCCGTTTAAATACCATTGCTTTTTCATCTTTTAAACGACTAGAACATTTTCCCATTTTCTTAATATGAACACTTACTTGTAATAAAACAACTGGATTTAAATTCTCACATCTTTCCTGGATTTGAACCCTATTTTTGTCCTCCAATGCGAGAGATATCCTTCAAGTTTATTCCTTGACGTTCCTCTCGCTTCTCCAGAGCTCTAACAGACAAGTATAGCACGTGAAATAACAGGCTAATACGTACATACAAGCATGCATTATGAAATTTTGGAACACGATTGTTGCCTTAAAACGTACTCTGCAAGCTTTACATTGTCACGAATTGATAAATAATCTTCTTTAGTCTCTGGTGGCTAAAGGAAAGATAAAAACTTTCCAACAAAATTGTTTCTTTACAAAAAGGTTTTACACTTCTGAATGAATTACCTTTTAATTATTTCGTCAGTGGGACAGTTTAAGGATGAATGATGGAGTTTAGTTACCAAAGCAGTTGATACCACTTAGTCACTATTACATAATTGTTTATGAACCAAAACTTACGAACAGGAAATCTCGCATTTAAACTTTATTGTATATTTTAGACATTAAAAACTATAACTACTTTAATACGAACATTATTCTCAAAAGTAATGCCATTGCTGTTGGATGACCAGTTGTCCAGAGAGCCACAAGATCCACTCAATTGCCTATATGCCAACAATAAAGATTATAAATTACTTATGGAGTATGCTTGTTAGTCTCAATTGAACTATTTACAGATGGCTAGTATATAGAGGATTATAAAATCACAAGTTTTAAGATGAATCTAAGAATGTTGCTAAAATGTTGCTGGTTGAGTAAACAGCGTGTGTTGTGGTTAAAGATAAACGTTTCTCACCTAGTGAGCGTTGTGAAAGCGCGAAACCTGCTTTGGATCGAACCCAACTTCTCAAATCGTGAAACAGTGCTTCGAGATCTTTATCTCATATTTTGTTTTGGTCTCCTGCAAATAGACGAAACTTTTTAACTATTTTATGTATATATAGAACACCTGTGAAGGTAATAGCACTCAGAATATGTATATTTTTGGGTTGAACACTAAATAAATTTATTGGCAAAGATATACAATACCTTTGTGAGCAATGAGCATTTTGATAAGTCTTTCTTTATTTTATGAGAAAAGTCCCTACAAAATATTTAAAATCGTTTGAAATATATATTGGAGTTTAAAAGACTAAATATTTTTAAGCCGTACTTCTGGCGGGAAAATTTCAAAACTACCATTTCATGGATTCGGACCCAGTCAACTCAGCAACCAGAGTTACCGCAGCCTAGTCCCTAGGCTTCTTAATGTTCCTTATACGCGGCGAGGCGGGAACTGAGAGGCCTAGAACAAAATGTTTTATATTTTAGCTAAAGTGGGGACTTTTTGTCCCCACTTTCTGTATTGAGGTCAGTTTACGATCTACGACGCGGTTAACTGGCCTTGTTCGACGTCGTTAGTCAAACATTTGCTTGAAATAAGCTACGGGATATTAATTATATTGCCAGGAGTCGAAATATTCATACAAACGTTTCAATGTCGCTCGCCGTCAACGCTATCGACTATCAAGTAAACTCGAGTCAGTACGTACATGTTTATGATTATAATAAACTTCAATCCACCAATTAACAATTATTGGATGAGGTTGAGTGTGATATCGAGAATTATCAAGCTGAAGTTTGCGTTATTTGCCGAAGCGAAGCTGAGGCGGATAACGCAAACTGAGGCTTGATAATTCTCGATATCATGCGAAAACCGAATTCAATAATTGTTTTATTATGTATTTCCTTTTTAAAGACGAAGTTTAACAACAAACTAGCGGTAAAAATTACGTCACCTACGGATAATTTTCAATCTCGTGTAGGTGGCAAGACATTGAGAATTATCTGTAGCTTTTTAGCCAATCACAATCGATATTGCCTTAGCAATGCATAATAATTTAAATTATTCTCGCTTCCTTTATAACGGTTACTGTTGTAAATTGCAAACATTTACTTTAATAACAATTCTAATTTCAAGTTCACAACATTAAACGGGCCGTTAAGATTAGAAAATATTTTGTGTTAGGCCTCTCGCGCGCGTTTCATTCGGTAACGAGACGGAAATATAAAACACGCGCAATGAGAGGTCTGGGACTAGGCTGGAGTTACGGCGGTTTTTAGGGAGTACTATTAGTGTTTTGTGTACATTTGTGCACAGAACAGTAGCAGGATAGGGTATTTTTATTAAAGCCATACTCTTTGCCTTTGGCTATACTGGATAAACCAGTTTAAATGTACCGTGTTGTTTGCAGACATTTTAAACCCTGCTAAATGTTTTCAATTAGCAGCCGAAATGGGCAAATGTTTTCATTTAACGTAACTGTGCAGCCTAGCAATCGTTTAGTTTACACTAAAGGCTGCTTTCTACTTACGCGTTTTTTATACGCATGTACACATACGGAGAATTTTAATTGCTTTTAAATTTTTATTAATTAACATGCATCTAGGTCGATTTATTCACTTAGTTTTTTCAAAGGTAACATGTATAAGAATTTAGATTTTTATGTGCGTGTACGTGCGTATGAAAAACACGTGAGTGGAAAACAGCCTTAATCCAGATTTTGACAAAACATTAAAACTCAATAAAAAGGCAATAATATTCTCTACACAGGATTTCGTCTGCAGAAAAGTACAAGATAAGAAGTTGTCAACTTACGTCTTGGGTGACTGCATGAAGTAGACCGCAGTAGGAAATATTGCAGTTAAATCTGTACACAGCTTCGGTTAAATTTCTTGCAAGGAACCAGTCATAAGACAATATAAGCTTTTGGAGATATTTCAAAAATTTAAAGTGAAATAAAAAGGGAAATATTTCACCTGGAGATGCAGCGAGGAATTTAAATGACTGCTTTCTACTTCTTCGTCAACAACATTATACAATGTACCCCGACGATAACCTTGAAAAATATATCATCTTAAAAAAATTCTTCTTTTGCTGTATGTGATGTATTGAACTGGCTAATAGGAATAACGCTATTAGCTGATA